TTTTCAACTTTTTTATGACAACATTAAATTAGCTACAATTTTAAGTATTTTAGTTTTGGAAAAATTACTACTATCTGTAAAATCCTAACGAATAAATTAGAAAATTCGTAAAAAATAGTACCAAATTGTCACTTTAGGCCGTGTGAGTAACTTTTTGGTTAGTTGTATTAAACAACTTAGTATGCCATTCGCTTTAGCGGCTTATTCTTCATAAGATTGGATATATATTTTTTCTTTCTTGTGTAAGATATGTTTTCATATAAGGATCTAAGGTTATAGCAAAAGAGTCTTATAAATCGCGGTTTTCGGAGTAGCTCATTCAGTTTTTGCAATAATGAAATTTTGTTTCCATTTTGTTAGGTCTTTAGCGTCCTATTTTCAAATTCTGCTGCCGGAGGGAGGATCTGAAATACTTTAGCAAAATGTATGGAGAAAATAAGGCATCTAACTCAAGTAGCACACTGGTGTATAAATTGGTGTAAATTTATGGATTTTGGTACAAATCTGATTAGATTGAATAAAAAAAGAACGTTTTGGTGTATTTGTTATTTCACCAGTATTTCTTTCAAATCAAAATTCTACCTTTAACATTTTGGTACTACAGTATATTTTGCTTTGCTGCCTTTATGCTTAGGTGCCCATTTAAGATACCTACCCCAAAATGTGCAGTAGAGGCATTATTTTAAACATTTATAAGGAAACTGCTCCGATAGATGCATTCAACATACCTGCACATTGGCGATACCTGCATTAAAAATTGTGCAACTAGTATCAATTATCAAAGAAAGTATTACGTTTACCTGCACTGACCCTATGTACAATTACCTAATTTTACAATCTTTTATTTATTTTGCTCATCTCGCGGAACAACGAAAATGGCTATCAATTTATGTAGTTATACAGATAATTAGATACTATTTGGTAAAAATTTCGCTTGCAGTAATTTCTACTTGGTAAGTGCTTCTCCATTATTTGGTTTCATAGGGATTTGGATACCTTCCTCATTGAAGTAGTAAAGAAAATTCGCTTAAGTGCCTTTTTCGGTTAAGTGCACAAGTTTTTCGTGCAAAGAATGATGTGCAGCTAAGCAAAATATACTGTATTTATTCATTGAGATTAGTATGAAAACTACACCAGCTCCTAAAATGCGCCACTTTTTTCATTTGGTTCACAAATAGCTCCACGTTAACAAATGTCATTAAAATTATTCTGGCGAGATTCTGAGTAGTGATGTGCTGAATTCTCGGTACCCAATGCTTGAAAAAAATTTCGGTACCCAATACTTCCTTTTCGGTACCCGATACCGATTCGACAGACTAAACTTTCGTCATTATATCTGTGCCGTTCAATTCAAGTAGCTTAAGTCACTTTAGATGGTTTGACTTTGAATTAAAAAAAAAATCAGTCTCCTTTGAAATTGTTTTATATTTTAATTAAGATTCTATTATAGGGGCATCTTGAACTACATCTTTGGCTAGTTAAACGTTAAAATATTGTTTGGGAATCCAATGAAATGTGGCTTTAAAGGGAAAGGGACCTATCTCGACATATGCTACTTTTGGGGGTAAAAATTATTGATATTTTATAAGACATCGCCTAAAAACCCAAAATGTACAAATAAGACGGCCCTTTCTCAAGAGATGAGCAATGTGTTTGTATGTATGTAGTTAAGTGAAGCAAGTATAATGTGTGCGTCTAACAAGGCAGGCAATTAAATCTGCACAATAATGATCAAGGCGAATTTAATAAGGTGGTGTTAGCCGTATATAAGTAAAAAATTACACTTACAAATTATACGCAGATATTCATACTGTCATTAGTATGAACTACAACAAACACGTAATTTTAATGTAATGTCCTCCACGGCGAAAAATTCAGATACGCCGGTAACACCACCTTATTAAATTCGCCCTGATACTGATGTCGCAAAACACACTCTCGCCTTCTTTTACTTATCGCAACCGTCTTTCCAATTGCAATAGTTCTGGTGGCAATATTATTTATTTTTAATAGCTGACACTATATGTATGTGTACATATAACTCATATTTTTGGCTGTTGCGCGCTTTTATTAGAAATTCCAAGATTTAGGTACCGAGCATCGAAAGTATTTGATACTTTTTAAATCGGTAC